ACCCGCTTCTCTCAAGAGCACCAACTGGGCCCCAGAGAACATACCAGGGCCTGACTTCTTTTAAATATGTAATATGGCCAGGCACAGTGGCCATGCCTGTAATCCCAGCTACTCAGGAGGCATAGGCAATACTTGAGAGCCTACCTGAAAACTAACTAAAGCACAAAGTGCTGGGGGAGTGGTTCAAGTGGTAGAGCACCTGCCTGGCAAGCACAAGGCCCTGAGTTCAACCCCCAGTACCACAACCAGTGAACAGAAAACAGAATGGCGCTGAGGGAGGACAGGGCTGAGCTATTTCAGCTGGTGGTCTGGATGGTGAGGATACAGAAAAGGAACAGCCACTGGGCAAGTTAACAGTGCAGTTCTCCGTACTTTCTTTACATGTGAACTTGGACTTTATGAACAGACCTAGCTGGGTGGCCTGCTGCACCTGGGCACCCTATTCTCTGTGGAAATGGCTGAGGCAGAACAGAGAAACTGCGCTTCAGAGAAGTCCAGGCAGTGTGATGGCACCGAAGGTCACGGTCTGGGACAGCTGTCCCTGTGGATGGGTCGGGCCCCGCCCTTTGCCACACCTGCACAGAGCAGTTATGTGGGGCTCACTGCGATCAACTGAAACATTTTTACTGGGCTCCTTCTCTGGGGCCCAGAGCTGCACCAGGGAAAAGGTCAGGCCAGTCAGTTCCTCTGTCCGTTCAGCCTGGGCCCAGCACTTGGCCTCAAGCAGGTGTCATGGGATCATGCCAGCTGACGTGATGCCACAGGTGGTCCCAGAGTATCAGGACGGAGACTCAGGACCCTCAGTTATGCATGGTCCACCAGTGTGGTCCCTTCTGACTACATGGCTTTTCACATTTTCTTTTAAGAATTCGTGGTCAGCTGGGTGCTGGTGCCACACACCTGTAATCCCAGCTACTTTCGAGGCTGAGATCAGAGAACTGAGGTTTGTGAGGAACAGTTCACCAGACTCCATCTCCAAAATACCAAAATAACCACAGCAAAATGGACTGGAGGTGTGGCTCAAGTGGGAAGGCATCTGCTTTGCAAGCATGAACCTCTGAGTTCAAACCCCAGTCCCAGCAAACAAAAAAAGAAAAGAAAAGAAAGAAAGAATTTGTGGCCAACACTTAAAAATGGAAGAGCTTCCATAGCAAAAGCTCCCAGCTTCTCTGCAAAGCCAGTGACTTGGCAATGAGGGGCCTGCGTGTCCCCATGGCAACAGCAGTGTGAGCACTTCCTGAGTCAGGCTCCCACTCTGCATGGATGATTCGTCCTCTGGAACGTTCCACGGGCTTGCACTATTAGCATCCTGATTTTTTACACAGGGCTTGTCCTGGGTTCCACAATTTAGGTGGCAGAGGCAAGGATAAAGTCTAGGCAGTCCCCCATCCCAAGGTCCAGATTTGGCACCTCGAAAGATGTAAACCCAACATGGAGGGCAGACTGTGTTTCCTCTTTATGGCCTAGGGAGGGGGCTAAGCCCACATGCTCCCCTCTGGGCAAACAGTTCACCCAGCAGATGCCAGGGACCAGGCAGGAAGATACTGAAATGACTTCCTCCCTGCCCTCAGAGAGCTCCCACACTCCTCTCCCTAGGTTCTAGAAGCTTCCAACAAACTGTTTTGTTCTTTGTTTTTGCAGTCCTGGGATTTGAACCCAGGGCTTTGTGCATGCTAGGCAAGTACTCTAACAGCCCCCAGATCCTTTTATTGTTTTCTTTTGAGACAGGGTGTCATTAAGTTGCCTGGTCTGGCTTTGAACTTGCGATACTCCTGCCTCAGCTGCCCAAGTAGCTGGAATTACAGGTGTGTGGCACCAAGCCTGACCTTTTTATTTTTTCACTTCGTTTATTTATTTATTTGGTGGGTCTGGGGTTTGAACTCAGGGCTTCACTCTCGCAAAGCAGGTGCTCTACCACCTGGCCACACCTCCAGTCCAAAGAAGGTAATCCTGGACTTTTTTTTTTTTTTGGTACTGGAACTTGAACTCAGGGCCTCATCCTTGCCAGGCAGGCACTCTACCATTTGAGCCACTCCGCCAGTCCTCTGACTGTTGTTGACAATAGAACAGTCTACTCTCCCAACCTCAGCCCCTCTGACCTCCACACAGCTGGACCCTGCCGGAAGTGGAAGAGAGGGACAGGGACATGTCCCCAGGCACACTCACAATGCGCTCGAACTCCTTGGCTTGCTTCAGCTCCCGGGGAAAGCCGTCAATGAGGAAGCCCCGGCTGCTTGGATTGGACAGCATGTTCTCGCTGACCATGTCCAGGATGAGGCCCTGTAAAGGAAAGGGGTGGAATCAGTGCCGGGGATGACAGGAGCACACACTCCCCACCCCTCCTACCCTGAGGAGGCCATTTTCTACGATGGTCGTTCATTTCTCACTCTGGACCTTAGGCAAGGACAGAGTGCAACCACCCTATCCCCGAAGTGCCCTGGATTATTTATTTATTTGCAGTACTGGGGACAGAATCCAAGGCCTTATGCATGCTAAGCAAGTGGTCTACCATTGGGCTGCACCCCCAGGCCTCCCATATACTTTAATCATCTCCACATAACTTATAATCTCCAGCAGTACCAATGTCAGGCAAATAGTCATTAATACCGTGCTGTTTAGGGGAAAATGACAAGGAAAAAAAAAAAAGCTGGCATGCTCAGAGATTTTCCTGAATATTTTCCATTCTTGGTTGGCTAAGTCCATAAATGTGGAGTCTAGATAGGAAGGGTCAGCTTTACCAACTCATTTGCAGTGCTGGGGTTTGAACTCAAGGCCTTCACCTTGAGCCACTTTGCCATCCCTTTTTTTGTGATGGGTTTTTTTGACATAGGGTCCTGGGCTGGCTTCGAACCATGATTCCCCTTGATCTCTGCCTCCTGAGTATAGCTAGGATTACAGATGTGAGCCACTGGTGCCCTGCTTTACAAACTAGTTTTTTAAAGCAACTTCTTTATTTATTATTTCTTTAGAGACAGGGTCTTGCTATGGAGCCCAGGCTGGCCAACAGGCCAACACCATCCTGCCTCAGCCTCCTGAGTGCTGAGGTCATGGGTGTGGCCAACCTACCTACACCCCGCTTTTATCATGGTCCTTCTGTTCTTTTGGAGGTACCAGGGTTTGTACTCAGGGCCTTGAACTTGCTAGGCTGGTGCTCTCACCTGAGCCACTCCCCCAGCCCATCACAGCCTTGGATATGATCTGCATCTTCCAGTAAGGACACGGAAGCTCAGTGCAGCAACACGGTGGCCAAGCCTGGAGCCCTGGCAATCCTGGGAAGTTTGTCCTGATGTGTCCCCCCACTCACTTTCCCCTGCCCATGAGCTCTCACCGTGGGCACCAAAAGCCCCTGCTGCATGATGTCACGGATCTGCCGGCCCCTCTGGGTGTTCCTTTGGGCCTCTTGCCGAAGCAACTGGCCCAGCCCCACGTGGCAGAAGCCATACTTGGTAGCCATGTTCTTGCACTGCGTCCCTTTCCCACAGCCTGGGCCGCCCACCACAAAGATGATCAGGGTGGACTTGAGGAGGTCTATGGTGTTGAGGGAAGAAGGTAGGCTGGGGTGAGCACCTGTAGGGGCTGCTGGCACTGACAGGACTGTGTCCACAAGCTAGTGTGTGTCCTTCGGTGACATGACATGGGATGAAGGCCTCTGGGCATAGCCTCTTTTGTCCTAGGGTGGCATCTGGGGATACATTTCCATGCCCAGTGGCATGACCGGGAGTGGGTGAGGATGACAACTTGAGCAGGCCACCCCTTTGCACATGGTGTCTCTAAGAAGCATCCCAATGACTCTATCACCCCATTTTACAGCTGAGGAAACTGAGGCTCAGAAAAGGGCCCACAACCCCACACTCATCTCACACCACCCTCCCTTGCCCTGCTGGCATCCTTCCTGTTCTGAACTCCCCAAATTTATTCCTCCCTTGGGTTTCCCTCCACCAGGGAAATCTCTGCCTGCCTGTTTCTTCCAGTCACAGATCATCCACCAGGCCCTTTCCTCAGCTCTAAGGAAGAGCTCTTTCTAGTCTCACCCTCAGAACCCCATTTTCTCCACAGCAGTGGCCACAGTCAGCCATGATTTTCCCAGTTGGTGTTTTTCTTCCCAGCCAGATTCTGTAATCCAAGAGAGCAAGGACTATTTCTATCTCACTCATTTCTTATGTTCCCACTAGTTGTCATAGTTCCTGACTTCTAATGGGGAATGAATGTTCCAAACCTCTGGACACATTTATGGAGTCAATAGTTCACGGTCCATTATTTCTGTCTTGCTTCCCTCTTCCTTTGCTTACCCAACTCCTACACATCCCTCAAGGTTCATTGAAACCTTCCTTTTTCCCATAAGACCTCAGAGCTCACTGGGCTTCCTCTATTCTCTCTTGAGTTGTAGATTTTGTTTTCTGATATCTCCAAGAGGGCAGGGAGCTGTTTTAAACTCGAGGGCACAAAAAGCAACAGGCGCTCAACTATTTCCGAAATGGAGCAATGAATGGCTGAACCGTGAGCATGCGCAGTTCCGTTACTGCGATGCAGTGCCGTGGTGTGCACACCTGCACCTCTCGCCTGCCCTCCACAGTCTCCTTTCCCATCCCTAGTAAGCCAGCCACCCCCACGATGTTACCCTTCTCCTGCGTCCTCAAGGATCTGCCCATCTGGGGCAGCTTGGACATGCATAGACCCATCCCGCCAGCAGCCCTTGGAGTACACGCACCTCATCCCCACCCAGGCCCAGACCCCTCCTGGCTCTGCTCAACGTCACAATAACCCCACCCCGATCATTTTGCGGGATGCTGGGGATCCCCCCAACACCGGGCAAGGTGTTGGAAATGAACCCTGACCATGTGGAGGTCAGAGGCAGCTCCACCCAACAGAGTAGGCCTCAGTTGCTATGGTGACACGGCCTCTGCGCCCACTTCCGGGCGAGTCGGCGCATGCGCAAAGTCCTCCTGAGCCCGAGAGGAGGGAGATTTTTCTTGCTCCTCACCCAGGATGCCCCGCGGCCTTGCATGCTGACGTCAAGGAAGCAGGCGTTCTTACACGTGATTAAATTATCCGCACCGTATAAGAGCGCGCCAGCCACAGAAGACTGTTCGTTCATCTCTGACTTGACCCGGCTGTTCTGGTTCGAAAATAGATGGGAAAGGGGAGATATTAGTTACAGCCTTGAGTGATCAACCCGTTGAAGGTGGTTGCCATCGCGACGCGGCCGCGGGCAAGTTTCACTTCCGGGTTAGAGGCAGCGCGGGCGCAGAAGAGACCGGCCGAGCTTCGCTTCCGGGTACTTTTTCCCAGGCACCGCCAGCCTAGGCTTGAGATCTTAGTTTAGGAGCAGTGACCCGACGCTGAGAGAGAGGCTTCCCCGGTGAGAAGGGACGCAGACTCCGGCGGAGACGAAAAGATTCCGGGTCTAACCGAACACAAACTACTGACCACTGGCTATGGCGGCCCTAGTGAGTATGAATGAGGCTGGGGTTCGGGCTCCCCGCGGCGCAGGGGGGCCCTCCTCATTCACGTTCCCTCTTCCTCTCTCCTCAGGGTCCCGGCAGCCAGAATGTCACAGAGTATGTCGTTCGAGTTCCCAAGTAAGTCCTGATCCCACCTCCTCCTCCCCTCCCCCCCCAAAATTAAAACCTTCAGGAGCTACCAGGCGTTTCTGGTCCAGGCAGAGCGACTTGAGGGCAGGGCGGGGGAATTTTTTTAGGGAGTGAATGGGTCCATTCAGTCCCCCGCCTAGCATTGGAGGCACATAGGCTAGAGCTACCCAGCCAAGCATCTGTTACAATTTACTAGTTACTATTCGCTGCTCTGGCCTGTTTTTAAACCGGCCAGGCCTTTGTACGTGTTGTTCCCACTGCCAGGAGTGTCCCCTCTCCCCCACTATGACTCTTGTACGTGCATTCTTGTCGATCCTGCAAAACTCAGTTCCAGTGTCTTCCTCCTGCACACCCTGTTAGTCCTTCTGCCTCCCCAGGGTCACGTTCTCAATTGTCCTCACATCTTGGTTCCTCTATATCTTTGTTCCTCCTTTTCTGTGTGGAGTTGGAAGGGGATAGATCTAGTTACTGGGAATCCAGAATCTTTTATGAGTCCCCAGCATTTCCCAGCACAAAGGTCTGAACCAGGGTGGATTTGTTGAATGTATGATCAACTAACTTAGCACTGCCTCTTGTCCCCTCTAGGAACACAACCAAAAAATATAACATAATGGCTTTTAATGCAGCTGATAAAGTCAACTTCACTACATGGAATCAGGTAAGTTTTTGGTTCTGGGGGACTGGAGAGCAGGGTTTAGGAGAACCTAACCCTGGACTTGGTTTAACAGTTGCTTTAGTTTTAATAGTAACTAAAGTTAGTTTTGTCAGCTCTGCCTAAGGGGAGATAAAATGATGAAGGGTCAGGCGCATGTCTGGCTCACATCTATAATCCCAGCTACTCAGGAGGTAGAGACTAGGAGGATTGAGGTTCAAGGCCAGCCCAGGCAAAAAGTGAGATCTCATTTAAACCAATAACTGGGTGTGGTGGTGTGTATGTGTCATTCCAGTGACTGAGGAGGTATAACTAAGAGGATCACAGTCTAGACTAGCCGTGGGGAAACAACATGGAAACTATTTGGAAAATAACTAAAGCAAAAGGCTGGGTGCATGGCACAAGTGGTAGAGTGTCTGCCTAGTAAGCATGAGGCCCTGAGTTCGTTCAAACCCCAGTACCACCAAAAAATGTTGATGAAGGCCCTGACCAGGCTTCTGTGCATCTCTGTAAGTAAGGTTTGTCAGGCTCCACAGAAGTTCTTCTTAAGGAGAACATTTAGAAATTATGCCCATGGTGAGCATTTTTGATCTAGATTTTTCTGTTCCATGGAAGGGACTAGGCTGGGGGCTGCATTCCATGTGCATCCCCAGGGTTGCCATTGTCAGAGACACTAGAAGGGACTTTGGAAGACAGTGAAGGGTTTTCAGCTGGGAGGTCAGGAGACAGACTGTGTTTATTATTTTTTTTTCTGTCTTGTCTGTGTTTTGGTGGGACTGGGGTTTGAACTCAGGGCTTTTTGCATTTGCAAAGCAGGTGCTCTACTGCTTGAACCACACCTCCAGTCCATTTTGCTCTAATTATTTTGGAGATGGGGTCTCACAAACTCTTTGCTTGGCTGACCTTGAACCTCCATCTTACCAAGTAGCTAGGATTATAGAATTGCACCAGCACCAGGCCTCAGCACTGTACACCTCAGCACTGTATATTTGAGGGCAGATGAAGGAGACTAGGATAGGATGACAGCTGGTCCAGCCAAGTGATGATGGGTGTGGCACAAAGAAGGCTGTGGGGTGTGACTGGATTCTGAGTGCTTTGGAAGTGGAACCAAAAGGTTTGTTGGCAGATAGAATGTTGCAGAGTGAGGGCGAGAGAATAACAGACAACCCCAGTTCCCTCCAGTGTTCTAAAGGAAACATCAGTGTGTATTGTCATTGAACAGATAAGAGGTGTCTGGGCATGGTGGTGCATGCCTGCCATCCCAGCACTTGGAGGCTTGAGGTCAGTGTGAGGCTACATAGGGAGACCCTGTATTCAACAGTTTAAAAAACAGTAAAATAGCCGCCTGTCAGCGGCTCACGCCTGTAATCCTAGCTACTTGGGAGACTGAGATTGGGAGGATCATAGTTCAAGGCCAGCCTGGGCAAATAGTTCACAAGACCCCCATCTCCAAAATAATCACAGCAAAATGGACTGGAGATGTGGCTCAAGTGGTAAAGCACCTGATTTGCAAGTGTGGAGCCCTAAGTTCAAACTCAAGTCCCACCAAAAACAAACAAACAATAAAATAAACAAGGCATAAGTTTCAAATTGCCTGTTGTTCTGAGTGGTGCGACAAAATGTGATGAAATTTTGCTGTCTCCCTCTATGTTGCCTGGGACAGATGTGACTCTTGGCTTTGTCTAGTGTCTTCACACTGTGTATGCTGCCTTTTAGTTGCTCACTGGCCGTCTTGCCTACCATGTCTACTGTTCTGGTACTGTAGTGTCTGTATTCAAGTTACCTTTATTTTGCTGAGCCGTGGCTCCAAAGCACAAGAGCAGTGGTGCTAGAACTTAGACATGCCAAAGAGAAGCCAGGAGACACCTCCTTTCAGCAGAAAAGTGGAAGCATGAGAAACTGAGAGAGAGACTCCATTCATACAACTTTCATCACAATATATTGTTATATTTATTCTACTTCATTGTAGTATAGTAAGTTTCAAATTCCCTTTGCCTATCATAGTATATCTATATGCTCTAATTGAAAGAAGCATGTAACTGCTGGTTTGTTTTTTTGTGTGTGTGGTACTGGGGCTTGAACTCAGGTCCTACACCTTGATCCAGTCTGCCAGCCCTTTTTTGTGATGGGTTTTTTTGAGATAGGGTCTCGCAGACTATTTGCCATGCTGGATTTGAACTGTGATCCTCTTGATCTCTGCCTCCTGAGTAGCTAGGATTACAGGTAACTGTTGTTCTAAGAGCAGCTTAGTAACAAGTTTAGAATGTGGCCTAGTGTTCCAATCTAGGAAGGAACTCTGCCTCATAGAAACTCTTTGCATCTTGAAGTGGTCTGATTTGGGATGAAATGATGAACATTCATCATTTCTCATTATGCACCTATATGCTGTATGGGTAAAATGTGGAACTGCTGTTCTAAAAGCAGCTTGGTTACAAGGTTGAGAATGTGGCACTGTGCTTCACTCTAGGGAAGGACTCTGGCTGGTAGATCTTGCTTGTACCTTGAAGCGTGCTTTTAGAAGTAGCATTCCTTTTTGCTCACAGCACACCTGTATGCTCTGTCGAAAGAAGCCCCATATTCACCATATTCTCCAAGTGCCACCATCCTGTGCCTTTGTTTTTTTTTTGGTGGTACTGGGGTTTGAACTCAGGGCCTCACACTTGCTATTCAGGCACTCTACCAGTTGAGTCACTCCACCAGCCCTTTTTTGTATTGGGTGTTTTTAGAGTTTGTTTGTCTCACAAACTCTTTGCCCAGGCTGGGTTTAGACTGTGACCCACTTGATCTCTGCCTCCTGAATAGCTGGGATTACAGGCGTGAGCAACCAGTATCCAGCTATCTTACACCCTTTGTGCCAAGCAGGAGGTTGACTGTGAGCACCCGTAGTGCAGGGCAGGGAGAGTGTACTGGCAGTGGGCCCGGTCCAGGCAGGGTTGGGGCCCTAAGAGACTTTGCTTGCTGCTCCTCCAGGCCCGGCTGGAGCGGGACTTGAGCAACAAGAAGATTTACCAGGAGGAGGAAATGCCAGAGTCAGGCGCCGGCAGTGAGTTCAACCGCAAGCTCCGGGAGGAGGCCCGCCGGAAGAAGTACGGCATCGTCCTCAAGGAGTTCCGGCCCGAGGACCAGCCCTGGCTGCTGCGCGTCAACGGCAAATCGGGCAGGAAGTAAGTGACGCTGGGGTCCGGGAGGGCCAATTCCATTTCCCCGTGCGTTCTGCCACCTCCTTTCTGAGCCTCAGTTTCCCAGCTGTATGGAGAGGGTGCCAGCCCTTCTTTCCTCAGAGGGCTTAATTTTGGAGCCCGGGACAGCACAGCCTCGATTGGCCTACTCAGATACTGTGGGGGCTGTCTGCAGATGCCCAGCTCCTGGCCCTGGGTACCGTATGATGGGTTTCTTGGTATGTGACTGAAAGGGAAGGTGGGGCTGGTGTGGTGGTTCAGAGTCCTTGAGGTAGGCAGCCCAGGGCCTGGCCTAGGCGCCAGGGCCCACCTCCGGGCAGAGCAGGAGGGCCAAGTCAGGTTGGGAAGGGCAGTCCGGGCAGAGCTGTGTGATGGTGACAGGTGGCAGGCTGCATCATTCTGGGTAGTGGGTGCCAGGCTGTAGCCAGAGCATGGCGTGGCTGTGATGGGGTGCAGTTCAAGACTGTCTAGATTCAGGGAGCAGAGCGAGGCCAGAGGCCATGAGGAGACTGGGCAGCCAGAGTTCACTGGCCACTTCACACGGCGTGTTTCATCCTGTCCCCACTGGGCCCCTGGTGGCGGGGCCAGATGTAAGCATGACATGCGTTATAGACTTGGCCCAGGCACTTGGGGACCACCCTGCATCACACTGTCACAGGCGTCCTTTGAAGAAGCCCCGCCAGGCAGGTGTGGGAGGCAGACCCGTGGGGACTGCCCGGGCCGGGTGGCACCTAACAGAAGCCTCCTGCAGATTCAAGGGCGTAAAGAAGGGCGGTGTGACGGAGAATACATCCTACTACATCTTCACACAGTGCCCCGATGGGGCCTTTGAGGCCTTCCCCGTGCACAACTGGTACAACTTCACGCCCCTGGCCCGGCACCGCACACTTACTGCTGAGGAGGCTGAGGAGGAGTGGGAGAGGTAAGTCTGCCAGGCCCTGGGTGTCCCCAGGCACAGGCCAGCCCCATGCTGGGAGCCAGGTACTCAGTGGGACCCATACTTGCTCTCAGTCCTCAGGCAGGTGGTGGGCCCCTTATGACGCCAGCAGAATAGGGTGGGTACAGCAGCCACTCAGCTTCTGCAGGTGGAGGTCACTGCACAGCATTAGCTGCACTGGACAGTCAGCTCTCTATGCAGAATGGGCGTCCTAAGGGATCTGCAAGGATCTCCTGAGGCTGCAGCGTCCTCAAAGGGGCCGAAGAACGTGGCGTGAGAGGCTGGAGTGCAGGATTGAGGGGAGGATCCTGAGAAGGAGGCCTCCCGTCCTAGTTGAAGACTTAACAGTGTGGTCACCAACACCTTGGGGCATCCATACCTGGTGCTGGAGGGCACTCTGGACACATCTCCAAAAGTACATTTGCAAAACTGCATTTGCATGTGCCACAGAGTAGTAGGTTCTCAAGCCTGCAGTTCCCAAAAGATTTAAAAAAAAAACCAGGTGTGGTGGCTCACTTCTGTAATCTTGGCACTCAGGAAGCTGAGGCAAGAGGATCAAGAGTTTCAGACCAATCTGGGTTACATAGCAAGACCCTGTCTCAAAAAAAAAAAACAAACAAGGACAAAAGAAATTTTTTAAAAATCCTTTTTCCTTTTTTCTCCTTTGCTTAATTGTTTTCATTAGTCTTGAAATTTTGGATGGGTCATAGGTTGACTCAGCTCCAAAAGTAACTCCTGTGAAAAGCAGGTGCAGAGAGATCAATTCCACCTGTAGTCCATGCCCTCAGGCGTTGGGCCCTGTTTTGCTGCTTGACCTCCTGAGGCCTTGTGATGCCCTGCTGGGCAACGGGTAGGGTGCCTCTCTGTGCTGTTTTCTTTGGTGGCACTGGGGTTTAAACTCGGGGCCCCACGCTTTCTAGGCAGGCACTCTACGGCTTGAGCCATGCCGTAGCCCTATCTGCAGTTTTCTTCCAGAAGACGCGCAGGTGCTCTCCTTTGTGAGGCAGCATGGTGTTAGGATGTGCCCTCTGTCTCTTGGAGAGCAAGTTATGTTAAAGGATCACATTGAAGCTAGATGTTCTAAGAGAAGGGCACTTGCTATTAGCAAGCATGAGACCCTGGTTCAAACACCAGTATCGCACAAAAAAAGAGACAGACTGGTTGGGTGTGGTAGTGCACTTGGCAGTAGAAGCAGAAGAGTCATGAGGTTGAGGCCAGCCTGGGCTACATAGCAAGTCCCTGTCTCCAGACAAATAAGCAAAACCAATACATGGCCTCATGGCTGGATTTGCCTGGAGCACCTGAGGCACAGCGCCATGTTGAAATTTCTCCTTGAGGGGCTCAGCAGGGAGGGATTGGGGCCAGACCAGCTTGCCCCATGACTTCAGAGTGTTTGGCCCTGGTAAGGCAGTGTCCATGGCTCCTGTCTGCCCCCTGGGCCATGCAGGGCTTCTGGAGGAGGGGCCCTGAGCCCAGCCCCTTGTCACCACCCCCTTTACCTGGGCCACAGGAGGAACAAGGTTCTGAACCACTTCAGCATCATGCAGCAGCGGCGGCTCAAGGACCAGGACCAAGATGAGGACGAGGAGGAGAAGGAGAAGCGCAGCCGCAAGAAGGCCAGTGAGCTGCGCATCCATGACCTGGAGGATGATCTGGAGATGTCTTCAGATGCCAGTGACGCCAGTGGCGAGGACGGTGAGCCACAGCTGTGGGCAGGGCAGCTGTCAGTGACCTCAGAAGGTCAGGGTCATGGTTTGCAAAGGTGACTGCTCAGTGAATGCCATTGAGACTACTGCTACTCATGGGTGCCCTAGAGCTGACAGGCACTCAGGGTACTAGGGAGGCTGAGACCATGGCCTTTACGGGGTTTCCCGGGACAGCACAGCCTTGATTGGCCTACTCAGATACTGTGGGGGCTTGGTATGTGACTGAAAGGGAAGGTGGGGCTAAGCTCCTGCCTGTGAGGGAAAGCTTCAGGGCTGTTCCCCTGCTTCTGAAGAATTGGCTCACCCTGAGGCTCAAGTGCCCAGTCATCGGCGCACCCAAGATATATGTCTGGAATCGTAAAACACGAAAGACACAACAGATCCACGGCCTGAGCCTCTCATGTCTCCCCCATCCTAGGCAGCAGAGCCCCCAAGGCCAAGAAGAAGGCCCCCCTGACCAAAGCAGGCCGGAAGAAGAAGAAGAAGAAGGGCTCGGATGATGAGGCCTTCGAGGACAGTGATGATGGGGACTTTGAAGGCCAGGAGGTTGACTACATGTCCGATGGCTCTAGGTGAGACGGGGAGGCTGTGTGAGACCTCAGCCCACCCTGGGGAGAGCTTGCTCACCCTCTGACCACCTGTCTTACAGCAGCTCCCCAGACGAGGCGGAGGGCAAGCCCAAAGTGACGCAGCAGGAGGAGGGGCCCAAGGGTAGGCTGGCTGGACGGGGCTGGAGGGGGCCAGCTAGGGGGTGTCACCTGCCCAGTCGCCTCCTGCTCACACCCCAGTCTCTCCCCAGGCGTCGATGAGCAGAGTGAGAGCAGTGAGGAGAGCGAGGAGGAGAAGCCGCCTGAGGAGGACAAGGAGGAGGAGGAGGAGAAGAAGGCTCCCACTCCTCAGGAGAAGAAGCGCCGGAAAGGTGGGCTTAGCTGGGCTGGGGCTCCAGGGCAGGTGTCCCATCTGTCCCTCCTGGGCCTCCTCATCCATGCTGGAGGTGAGGGTGGGCACAGGGATCCCGTGTGGCTCTGGCCCTGACTCTGGCCCCTGCAGACAGCAGCGATGAGTCGGACAGCTCAGAGGAGAGCGACATAGACAGCGAGGCTTCATCTGCCCTCTTCATGGCGGTAAGGTGCAGCCATGCAGAAGGGTGGGGGGAAGGGGCAGAGACCTCTGTTTTCACAGCCTTAATCTCAACCTCTGCAGAAGAAGAAGACACCCCCTAAGAGGGAGCGGAAGCCATCTGGTGGCAGCTCCCGAGGCAACAGCCGTCCCAGCACGCCCAGCGCAGAGAGCGGCAGCACCTCCTCCACCTTGCGGGCAGCTGCCAGCAAACTGGAGCAAGGTGAAGCCGGCCAGTGGCCTGTGCGGGAGATCTAGGAATGAGGGTGGGGCATTGGCCTGTGTTGTCCTGAGCTCTGAGCTCCCACCTCCCACCCCGCCACTCAGCCCTGACCCCACTCCCACAGGGAAGCGGACAAGCGAGACACCAGCAGCCAAGCGGTTACGGATGGATGCAGGGCCCCAGAGCCTGTCTGGGAAGTCCACCCCACAGCCGCCATCAGGGAAGTCCACACCCAGCAGTGGGTAAGTTTGCTGTGATTGCAGGGCTGGGCAGACTACACAGGGAGCATCCTGCTGACCCTCTCCCTCTGCTCGTCAGCGATGTGCAGGTGACAGAGGACGCTGTGCGCCGATACCTGACACGGAAGCCCATGACCACCAAGGACCTGCTGAAAAAGTTCCAGACCAAGAAGACCGGGCTGAGCAGTGAGCAGACAGTGAACGTGCTGGCGCAGATCCTGAAGCGCCTGAACCCTGAGCGGAAGATGATCAATGACAAAATGCACTTCTCGCTCACCGAGTGAGGCACTGCCTAATAAACATGCTGCAGACCCAGTGTTTGTGCATGCTCACTGCCATATGTCCCTGCCCAGCGTCCTGCTCCCCAAGTCCCAGGGCACTCCAGAAAAGCCTGGACAGGCTCCTCAGTCCCTCATGGAGTTGCAGGCACCCTGTAGGCCTCATTTTCATGAGTCAGCCTTCTTTCTGTTGATGGAGCCCCCCCCTTTCCCCCCACACACCCACGCTGCCTGCTGGGTAACAGCAGAGCAGATTCCCCTCTCTCTTGCTCAGCTGGTCCATGTCCACTGGGTACCTATTACTTATTTAATTTTACTTTTTTTTTGCAGTACTGGTGCTTGAACTCAGGACCTACACCTGAGTCACTCCACCAGCCCTTTTTATGAATGGTTTTTTCCACATAGGGTTTGCTGAACTGTTTGCCCAGGCTGGATTTGAACCATGATCTTCCTAATCTCTGCCTTCCGAGTAGCTACAATTATAGGCGTGAAACACCAGTGCTGGCATTACTTTTTGTTTCTTGTGACCATCTCCCTATATAGCCCAGGCGGGCTTTGAACTTGTAATTCTCCTGCCTCTGCCTCCTGAGCATTGGGATCGCAGTCATGGCCACCATGCCTGTTTTATTTCAATGACCCTATTTTCAGTTGCCCAAAGTTATCTTTGTTTCTGTCTGGCATGGACTGTTGAGTTTGGAGTGTCTTATCCATGGGTGTTTTTGATCGTTTCTTTTCCTATTTTGCATTTTTACTTAAGCATCCTTCATCTTCATCTGTCAGACGCACCTAGAGTCCACAGTTGATAAGCAGCCTGCCCCGTCTCCTACCTCGCCTTCCTGACAGGCCATTTCCTCGTCTTTGTCACCAGGGCTGGGTGCTCACGGGAATTTTGCCTGGCAGGTGGCTTTTGCATTTGCTTCTGCCAGCCACCTAGGAGTGCCACTTGGATCCTGTTATGTGCAGTTCTCAGCTTGGGGCTCTGTCCCCAGGTGGCCACCAGAGTGCTACGCCCTGGTGGCTGGTGCTGGCCTCTGGGCCTTACTGTTTCCCAGTAATGTTTCTGGGGTTCCCTTATCCCCTAGCAGACCTGATAATTTATTATGGCCGGCATGGCCAGGCGTCTACAGGGTGAGGGTGTCTCCAAATTCCTAGACAGTAACGTGGCTGAGGATGGAATCTGGCTGCAGTTACCACCTTGGAACCTGTATCCTACGTGACCTGGCGGGAGGGTGGATGGGGCCTTCGGTCTTGCCCACCCCTGGAAACTCTAGGTGGAAAGCCTCCCTGCCCAGTTCTGCAGGCCCAGGCTGCCAAGCCCAAATGCCTGGGATGTCAGGCTAATTCCCAGGAATGTCCCCTTTTGCCCAGCCTCCCACCAGCCTGGGCAGTTTCACCCCTGCTGTCTCTACCATGTGGACTTCTGCCCAGGAGAACAGGCAGTGTGGCTTAATAGTTAGGTACAGAGCTGTCGTGTTCAGAGTGATCTGGGTTCCAATCCCTGGCGCATTCCTTAACTCAGTTTTTGTTGTTTTTGGTGGTATTGGGGCTTGAACTCAGGGCCTCACACTTGCCAGGCAGGTGCTTTGTCACTTGAGCGCCTTTGCCAACCCACATTCTTTAACTCTGGATAACTTCAAACAAGTGACCTTTTTGGATTTAGAAGTCATCTGAATAGGTACTAGGACGGTCAATAAAGTAGACCCTTGTGGATGTGAGGCAGTCTAGAAATAGGAAAAGCTCAGGTAGGTTGCGTGGGGGTAGACCACCCTCACCTGGCTGGGAACTGCCCATGCCCTGCCCCACTCATTCTCATTATTGGGTAGGAACCTCCTTGGCTTGACCCCCCATGGGATAGTTTTAAAGGCACCTGAAAAAGAAAAGCTCTGCTGGCGGACTCCACCTGCAGCCACCTGGCAGACTTCCCGTTCCTCACCTGGCAGAACAGGTGAGTCCCCTTCTCAATAAAGCTGTTCTACCCCACCCCATCCACGTCCTCTGCTTGGATTCTTCATGTGGAGCGCAAAGACCAAGATCTAGTGACCACAGACTGCACCAGCACCGTTCACAGATGGATGTTGAGGCCTGGGACAGGCAAGGTGGCAATGTCCCTGGGCTGGGTGGGCTGGCTCATGTGTGGAAGAATTTCTGAGGCAGGGTTTAGGGCAGAGGGCTGTAATTTGCAGTCACTCAGAGCAGTATGAGTGATCACACCAAGAGGCAGCTTACTTCTACCAGCTAGCCACATACTGCAGCGTGGAAATGTGAGCACATGTGTCTGGGTTTCCCTATCTTGTGAAGTCTTCAAGTTTTAACCTCCTCAGTGTGTGGATCAGGCACCTCAAACAGCAAACAAGTTATGTGTATTCCTTTGCCTCAAACAGTTCTTTTTCTTTTAAGCAGGACTTGGCTTTGAATTCAGAGCTTTATGCTTGAGAAGTGAGCACTCCACTGTTTGAGTCATGCCTCCAGTCCATTTTGCTCTGCTTATTTTGGAAATGGGGTCTTGCAAACTATTTGCCCAGGCTAGCCTTGAACCGTGATCCTCCACATCTCAGCCTCCCAAGTAGCTAGGATGACAGGTGTGGGCCAGCGGTGCCCAACCACCTTGAAAGTTCCAGGCGCCCATGGTTGCCAGGCACCACACTAATACTAGGTGCCCACTTCCCTGGGTCACACAGGCACAGCCACCCCCCAAAGCCTGCACCTCTCAGTGACCTCCTGCTGGCTCCACACTAGCCCCTGTGCATTTCAGCATCCCCTCAGGCTCTGATGCTCTGGAACCCCAGGATGGGGCTGCAGCTGCGGGGTTCCCAAGTTGGCCTTCCAGAAAGAGTTGTTCCTGCCCCCTTGTGTCCCGGCACTTGGCTGTCCCCAGGCCTCTCCCTTTTCCTGTTTTGATGCTGGCTCAGCCAGGTCCGGAGACAGGGGAATGATGTCTTAATCCTCCAGGCGGGAGCCCTGATGGGACTGGCTAGTCTACCTTCCGCGCGCCCTTTCTAGCTTGTCTGCCCCCATCTGCATGCAGGGGCTCCTAAGCCCCACACCTCCTTCATTGGGAGGGACTTCCCAGGGGGGGGCCTTACCTCTCCCACCAAACAGCAGGTGGGGTAGGGACACGGGTTGTTCGCCCTGGGCTTGTCTCTGGCTTCAGGCTTGACAACTCATAAATCGGGGTGTCACGGTGTTGGAAATGGGTCTGCGGAATGTCTGGGTGGGGTGGGGGCGAGCCCTTAACTCGTAGAAGGACGAGGTGTGGGGTACAAGGAGCCAAGGCCAAGCCCTGAGACATAAGGATGAGCTGGGCAGGGTCTCCAGTGCCTCCTGGGACCGTGGTGCTGGCAGTGAAGAGGTTAAGCCCCCAGCCAGGCAGGGAATAAGTTCAGAGCATGGGGCTCCCGCGGCCCCAGGACCTGTCTCTCACAATGGCCACAGGGAGGGTCCTGCTCATCTCTCTGCTGGTCCTGTCACTGCAGTTGGGCCTCAGCTGGGACTCTGATGCTCACCAGAAAGCTCCAGTGGCAACAGGAGAGTTCTGGTCTAAGCAGACAGCAGAAGCCGGAGGGACCTGGAGGCTACCACTGGGTAAGGACTCCCAGGGACCCGGGTGACTTCCCAAGTCCTTGCTGCTAAGTCCCTGCCTCATTTCAGTGCCCTTTCTTTCCACCAGGTGCCCACAGTCTCCATGCCCGCCTGCGCCGAGCCCTGGCCGGTTCATGCCAGCTATGGAGTCTGACCCTGCCTGTGGCTGAGCTGGGCTTGGGCTACACCTCAGAGGAGAAGGTCATCTTCCGTTACTGCGCTGGCAGCTGCCCCAGAGGTGCACGTACCCAGCATGGCCTGACGCTAGCCCTGCTGCGGGGTCAGGGCAGAGCCCATGGTGGGCCCTGCTGCCGGCCCACCCGCTATGCCGATGTGGTCTTCCTCGATGACCGCCACCACTGGCAGCAGCTGCCCCAGCTCTCAGCGGCTGCCTGTGGCTGTGGCTAGGAGTGGCCAGCCATTCAGGTGTCTGAGAGCAGCGCTGATGGAGCAACTACGGCTTGAAGGGCTTAGCTGACATATTTATTGGAGACCTGAGTGAGAGAAGAATAGAAGTTAGGGGAGGTGGGCTGGGGCTCTGGCAATGACCACAATAAAGAAGCTGCTCTCCTGGCCTTGTGAGTGTGTGCCAGCAAGCGCTGACGGCCACCAAGGCTCTTTGTGAACAGGTGCTACCCAGGCCTTCTCCTGCAGGTCTTACTCTGGCAGACAGCCAGCTGGGAGCAGTGTCTGGTGTCTGGGAGCAGGTGGGGGCCACTCTGGACATCAGCAGGCTGGTGCTGGCCACCCTGGCCCCATTTCCTCAGGAAGGGAGCGGCAGATCACAGAGATGCGCCGGCCCCGGGGAATCCGCCGCTCCCCAAAAAAGGACTCTTCATCTCGAAGGATCTCATGGGAGAAGTCATAACGGGCTGAGTCCCTGCAAGAGAAAACTGGTTATGAGTGAGTGACCAGGCAGACTGCAGTCCCAGTCCCTTTGCTGCCCCTGCACCTCCCTAGGGGTAGTGTTTGCTCTGAAGGCTGAATGAGAGGATTCTCAAAAGAGTCAGGTGGGCATCTGGCATGTCACTGGGGATAGGGCTCCACAGCTGTACCTTAGAATGTAGAGGGAGCCTGGCTCCAGCAACAGTTCCAGCCACTGCCCTGGCTCCTGGGTATGAACCAGCCGCATGACGCTGGGGGACAGCAGGGACAGGCCAGCAATGGTGGCTCCGCAGAACTGGAAGAGGGGGCATGGCGGTGGGTCAGGCTTCTGGCCTGCCCTGCCAACCCCTGGCTGGGAGCTCCAAGGTGCTGGTTTCTGCCCACCTTGACACTATCTACGTGAGGCTTGATGTAGCCCTGAGGTTCCAGGTCCAGCACGTGCACTGGGGACAGCAGGGTCTGGCCAGGTCCAAAGGCAGCTACCTGTACGCGCTGCAGAATGGCCCGGCTTGCTTCAGACCAGCGGGACTTCTCTGTTTCCCGAAAGCCGTGGATGGCCTGCACGGAGAACTCAGGTCAAGGTCTAGGCTCAGTGGTGAGAGCTTGCTTGGCATGTGAGAGGTCCTGAGTTCCATCCCCACCACCTCAAAAAAAAGAAAGAAAACTCCAATAGAGAGCTCAGGTTGGGCCCGGGAGAACAGAAAACTGAGGTACAGAGCAGAGTCCAGGGCAAGAGGCTGGTTTTCCCAACATGACTCTTGTCCCTGCCGTCATCTTCATCTTACAGTCCCGTCTGTAACCTAGCACCTGCTACAACTACAGCCCTTCCTAGGTCTCAAACCCCTGTCTTGGATCCATCTACATCTGACCTCAGTCTCCAATTCCCAGTCCCCAATGCTTGCCCACCCCACTCAGTACTTAATTGTCAGTCTCCACCCTCAACTTGATCCCACCGAAGTCCCCAGTCTGACCCCAATCGCTACCCTGTTCATCTCTCCACACTTCTTTCCGCCCTCAGCGTGGAGGCAAACACCTCGCAGCTCCGGATCCTGCCTCGTTATGGCCCCGCCCTCATTTCCAAAGCGTCCTCGCTGTCCTCAGGTCTCCGTCCCCCACGTGCCCCCTTCCCGGAATTCCAGGACAGACCCCATTCCTAGGTACCGCCCACAGCATGGCCCGGCCGCATCTCAGGGACCCCGCCCCTCCTCAGCGATCCCCGCCCCCCACCCCTCCGCCTAGGCCCCGCCCCGCCAGCCTCACCGCATCCCAGTGATCGTATTCGTAGCGGCGGCGGCGCAGCTCAGGTTCCAGTTCACGGCTCAGCGTCTCCTCCTCGGCCTTGCTCAGGAAACCAGGCCGCACCACGGCCTCATCCTGCAGGCGGCTCAGCACCGCTGGGCCCGAGCCCCGCACCCAGCCAGACCCCTGCAGCGTCCGCAGTGCCAGTCTCCCACTCCGGGTCATAGCCATAGGGCTGGTGGTGGAAGAGGCCGGGGACAGGGCAACGCCCCCGGCCTAGACCCATTGGCTGTGGCCTCGCCACGTCCCTCCAGTGATTGGCTTTTCCCAGAATCCCGCCTCCCTCTCAAAGTTACTGGTTGTTCCTCTCGTCCTCTCGAGCTACTGGTTCCCTTAGAGCCCGCCTCCTCTCCCTGGCTATTGGGCCCCATCGACAGGACCTGAGATTTTACTGACTGTGCCGCACGTCCATCAGTTCCGGCTTTATCCCAAACTTCTCCCGCAAAGGGAAAGTGCTCACTTAAGCCAGTGCGCGGGCGGGACCTCACATGCCTGCGAAGGCAGGAGTTGTCTGGAGCAGGGATCATAGGAGAATTTGAGCAAAGGCCAAGGTTACGGAATTGGCCGATGTTAGAGGTTAAGAGCAGAGTGCAGTCGCAGTGAGAGGAAAGGGTCAAGGGTACCGGAGGTCAGGGCCATGATTATGGGGCGGGGCCAGGCGTGCAGTTAGAGGTTGCGGTCAAAGGTTAAAGCGAGGTATCCATTTCCCCTAAGTAGGTTTTTTTGTTTTTGTTTAGGTTTGAAGATGGCATTGTGGTTGTCATTTAAAAGACTATTTATCTTTCAGAAATGCATACTGAAGTATTTATAGAAGAAATGATACCTGGTGTTTGCTTCCAAATCCTACAGGTCTGGGGGGGATGGAAGGGGGCCGTATAGGGACGAATCCTAAAAGGCTGTAAATTGGGGGTTGTGTGATGGGTAGCTGAGGCTTCCTTCCTCGTCTTCTGCACAGAC